TGCTATGAAAGAAGGCGTAGATTTGCTTCGCGGAATTGCCAGTAGAATTGCAGTGAGCGCGAGTAACAATCTCCGACAGGCAATACGTTCTTTTGAAGCTACATGGAAAGCAAAGTAAGCACATGGATCCCTCCTCCTTCTCATATTCTAATGGTATTTCACCATAATTGCGGTCCATTTTCGATGCCATGAAATGCCAGCAGCCCAGCATAGCACTGATTAATGTACCTAATGGTATTCAAATGCTGCTGCCATGTTATGACTTATGACTAAAAATGATGCTGCACTACTGAAGAAATGGGTTCACACCATGATTTCAATCTCCTTCGTTTTATTAGTGTTTGCAAGGTCCAAGTGGTATGATATTAATCTTGAGTGATACTGAATTTACTACTGATCTTTAGAGGTGCTGAATTTATGGGGCGGAGGGAGTAGTATCTGTTTATTTATTTTTTGACTATGGATGCTGCTTTGCTTGTGTCAAAGAATTACTGTAATTTTAGTTTTCCATACTGATAATCAGCTCCCTTAACAAATACAGCTATCCATTCGTAGAAGATCAACCTATTCTGACGGGATGGGAGGAAGAAATATATAATGTGGCCAAGAAAATCATGGAGGAGCCAAGTCCAAAGCAGTATGCTACCCTTCCACCGCGTTGTTCTGCAGTTCAGTATGCGTGAGCTTCTTTCTTCAACTTCACAATAAAAATAAAATTTACAGATTTGACTTGTACACAGGCTGTATCTCATTCGAGGGAAGATCAGAAAAATAATTGAGCATAACGTGTCACCTTATTTCATCTTCCGCGTAAGCTCTGCTCTACCTAATGCTCACATGTTTTATCTGATTTGAGGAGCCCGGTTAATGCTCGTATTTGTCATTGCTCATTACTGTTCCTTTTTTTCCTTTTCCTTTTGAGATGCAGCACCTGGTTACTGGACTGAAAAGGGACAGGGATAAAGATTTTCAGAATAGTGTTGATGAACTGGCATCGGGGTTCAACCATGTGAGCATGACTACAAGCATCTTCACTCACAATTGAGATTTGAGAGTGACATTTCATTTCCATTTCTCAACTAGATTACATTGATGTATGTGTTCTTTGCCTGCTTGCTTGTGGGCAGTGTGCAGGCCGCAAGTTTCAGAAAGAACAAGTCAAAGAATACAGATCTCGGGACACAACTTTGGACATCAGTATAGAACATTTTGCCGTGGAAGGCCGTGACCAAGGGGAAGCCATCCAATACTTCATAAAGATTGAAGGTATATGCTGATTGTTTTTTGCTTCGGTTCACTTGTGAACTGTAGTCTAACCCTTAGAAAATCCTGGCAGAATTCACGGTGAGGTTCATGAGCTTCTACAGATCCTGGCAGAATTCACCGCAAGGTTCATGAGCTTCAACATATGTTTCATAGAGAATAACTCGAGTAAAGGGTGTGTTCCATGAAGGGGGTGATCCACTCTCTCCATCGAAATCATCTCCAAGTATTGTCGCACTTCCGATAAATAAGCAGTGGCCTCTGCCTGCCTCTGAATCAGAGCATTTTATATGTTGCTTCGCCTTTGCATGTAAGATGAAGACATACCCGTGTTATCTGTGTTGTCTGTGCGAATGTATAACCACGCACAGAACTTAGCATATGTATGGAGTGGATTGTGATGGGCTCCAAATTGTAAAAATATCAACTTCATATTTGATAGTATATCAATATTATCATATTAGTCGTATGGAGTTACGTATATCATATTCATATCACTTGCCTTGTGTACTTTGTATTCTATTACTCACAACGCCGCATTCCAAAGCAAGATAGAGGTTGTAAGTATGGAGTACTGTGTTTATTTCATCACACAAGAAACCACAATGGTGTGAGGAACAGATGAACGTGGATTTTTTTGATGAACAGTAAAATCAAAATAAATAGTAAATAAAATTTAAATTTTCTGTTTCTTTTGTAGATGTTCATATTACTGTGGCAAGTGTACTTGATAATTTTCATGCCATATGGGATAGCAGTGCTTCGTCGATGAAAAAAACAAAATTAAGTTTAACATTTGGAGTTCGACTTTCTTTTTTGCACAAGTCAAAATGCTCAAATTTTTCACCTGCAAATTTGCATGTACCATTTGGGTCTAACAATGAACACATATATTTTTTTTCCAAATTTTTTTACGTTTGTAAAATCCATTTTTATCACGCAAGAGCATGTGCTCCCTAGATCCAAATTGAATATCCAGGAAAAAAAACTGATTTTATAGCCACATTTGGTTGCTTACTTTTCGTGATATTATGCCCCCCTAACATTTAACATGTGAATACCCTTCTGGTTTGATTTTTATCATGACCTTTTCGTGATATAAAGATCCATATCTCACTATTTTTTTTAGAAAATCTCTCATTGTTTTTTATTCTTCAAAAAATCTCTCACTATTACTCCCTCCTTTTCGGTTTATAAGGCTTATTTCAACTTTTTTGTTTTTCCAATTTAGAGGGCTCATCTTCATCTCATTTTTAGTTTTCAATGCGCATTAAATCTTTGCATGCAAGAATTAAATAGGAAGACACCAATGCATGTAATGTTCCTACTCATCTAGTGGCCAAGCATGCATGCACTGCAATTAATCCAAATTAATGCATGAGTTTAATTGAGGTACTCCCTCCGTCCTATAATGTAGCAAGACGTTTTTTCACATTAGTGTTGTGTCAAAAAATCCATTGGTTGATGAGATTTGAGATTTGAGCCTTATAAACCGGAAATGAGGGAGTATATACTACTAGATGCAAAAAAAAAAAAAAACTGGGTCTAATTCCAAAGCATGGGCTATTGCGCGTACATGGGCTCAAAGCATTAATAATCCTATAATAATGGCTCAAAGCATGAAGCCAGGGATCCATAATCTCCATCGACTCCACTTTCGAGCAATGGCCAGCGAACCGCCGATCCCCTCCACGGCCACCACCACCCTCGCCACCGCCGCCGACGGAACCACCACCACCACCATATCCTCGCTCGGCCAAGACCAGCTTCTCGACATCTTCCTCCGCCTGCCCAACCTGCCGGACCTCGTCCGCGCCGCGCTCACCTGCCGCTCCTGGATCGGCGCCGTCCGCTCCTCCCCGTCCTTCCGCCGCCTCTTCCGCGCCATCCACCCGTCGCCCCTCCTCGGGATCTTCCTCAAAGTGGACAACGCCACCGCCCCCTCCTTCGCCCCCCTGCGCCGCTCGGATCCCGTCGTCACCGCCGCCCTCCGCCACGGCGACTTCTTCCTCACCTCCCTCCCGCTGGACGACGCCTGGACCGTCACGGACTGCCGCGACGGTTACGTCCTCCTGTGGAACAAGTGCTGGGCCGTGGCTGCGGTGAACCCCATGACCTGGGCTGTCGACGTCATCTCCTTCCCGGACGACATGGCGGATGGGAGTCTCCGCGATTTCGCCTTCCTTGGTTTCCACCTGCTGACTTCCGAGGAGAACCCCCGGTCGTTCCGCGTGGTCTGCCTCTGCGCCGACGTTTCTAGGGTTCATGCTGCCGTCTTCTCGTCGGATACAAGGGGTTGGGCCGTCCATCCCTGGGTGGAGATCGGCGGTGACAACAGCCTCAAGTACGGTGCAGGCACGCTGGTGGATGGTTCAGTTTACTGGCCTTTCTATGGCGAAGGACGCATTATCAGGATCAACACAACCACCATGGATGTCTCCTCTCTGGATCTACCTTCGCAGGCAATTGATTACTGGCAAGACGACTTCGTGGTTGGGGATACCAAGGATGGAGAACTCTGCATGGCCAAGTCAGAGTTGTGCAAGTGAGGTCCGGATGTGTCTACTTGTCCATGACACGCATAACCCTTGCTGGCACACAGCGCACCTGGTTCTTCTACCTTTCATTGGAGACCATGGAGATCGAGTTACTAATCCATGGCACATTTGATGACTGTGCCTTTCCGTATCATATGGCCTGGCCTCCTTGTTTGATTGCTGATGATGGGTGCACTACACATGAAGTTGAAGCTTCTCCCTAAAGTCTGCACTTGTTTGCCATACGAGGAAATGAATGAATGGGATTACTTTGCTGATGATGCAGCATAATATCTACTTAGTTGGCATTGAAAACTGGAAGATCGTGCCTTTCTATCTTAATAAATAATGGTTATGCTCATAGACACCTTTAGATGCTTGATAACCATTGGTACAATTCTGGAGCTAATGAATTTATGGAAGATTGGATTTTCATCTGCTGCAAACTTTCTATGGAATACTGCTATGCTGTGTTTGCTGCCAGGCCTCATCGATTAATTTGTTTCTACCGTTTATAATCATAATAAACTCTGAATGAAATCAACTTTCAGATATGCATCTGTGATTCTAACAAGAATCCCTTGATACACATCTTGTTCTTATTGCCGCACAATCTCTTCATCTTTTAGGCTGCAGATTCTCTTGTCTATCAACCTTTGTTGTTCTTTGTCGCACGCACACAGCTAATAATATAAATCAGCTTTAAGTGATTTTTCAGTATGCTCCTGACCTAACTTTAATGGTGGCGTGGTTACTTGCTACTTGTTATACTTGTGTTTCAGTTCGAAGCGTTAGGCAGTTGGTCCCTTGCTTGACTGGATGACGAAGTTTTTTTTAAAGTAGTTGTAGTTTGTGCATTCTTTCTGCATCTGCTGTAGCTCGGCGGTATTGTTTTCCTCTGGATTGAGGGAGGATGTTAGAATAGAGTTTGTAGAGATAGTTGTTTAAACTATATTCTGTTCATATCTCTTCTTCTGTTCTGTTCTTCCTCTCCAAGTTATATCTCCCTCTCTCGATGTATTCTGGAAGTATCCTAGCGATATTCCAAACCTTGTAAGCCACGACAATCCTTCCATAAATATACATGCGGCCCGAGCAAAGGGTTCAACGCTTTCTATCAAATCTTACACTTACAACTGGCTCGTAAGCAACAACGACGGCCAAGGCGAAGGATTCGTGGTTAAGCTCGACACGGTGACCATGGATTTCTCCTTTGTGGATATGCCTTTGAAGGTGCATGGGTACAATTTCAAGATTGGGGACACCGAGGACGGCGAGCTTTGCGTTGTGTATGCACTGGACTCCCTTCTCCATGTTTGGGTCCGTCGAGCGGGCGACGACGATGGGATCGACAGATGGGTGCCGCACAAGACAATCTCTCTGATTGAAGATGGGTGCCGCACCGAGACGTGGCGGGGCATGTATACCGGCCTGCAAGTTTTGGAGGTTAGGGCAGGGCGCGTGTACATGGCCACAAAGCACAGTTTCCCTCATGTCGACCATTTCCTTGGAGGTTAGGGCAGGGCGCGTGTACATCCTGCTGCTCCTGGTTCTTCTCCATTTCCATGGAGATTGAGAGGCTGTTTCAGGGGAGATATGATGGCCACGCATATCCGTATGTTATGGCCTGGCCTCCTTCTTTGGTTGGTGATGATGGCAGCATTAATTGGACAGGATGATGGGGTTGAAGCTTCTTCTCACTCAAGTGTGAGTGACAACCCATGGGTATGGATTAGATCCATTAGCAAATACGTACTTCTGAAAATCATTCCCTTGTATCTGAAGAAATGGTTATTTGCGTAGAAATTTATGGCTCAATGCTGAAGCTAATGAACTAGCTATTTGGAAGAACGGATCGTAGTTATTCTCTGCGTTAGCATCGATCGCGCATTGCAAAAGGATATACTATGAGCAAGGGCCTGATCTTGGTGGACTTTACCGGTGGGAGAACCTCGACGTTGCCCCTGATCGATGAAGGGCCAAACAATGCCACAAAATGTTTTTATTAGTTTCTGTTTGGAATGTTTTTATTAGTTTCAATTTGAAGAAAATATTGCCAAAAGGTTTGAATTCAAATTTGAATTTTATTTCGAGTTTGCAGAAAATGTTTTTATTAGTTTCTGTTTTGCCTCTATAAAAATGTCCATGCTATAGGATTAATTCCCCTGAGAATTATGATATATATATCTCCTATATAAAAATATTATAGATTTCTTTTATTCTATTTTTCTCTCTCTCTCTGCCTTAATTCAAAAAAAAGAGAAAAGGCCCATGCGCGAGCCAGGCCAACCGGCCCAGCCGACGCCAGGCCAACCGGCCCAGCCAACAGCAGGCCAGCGCGCCCGTGCCCGAACCCCTCTCCCCTCGGTCGCCCGCTCGTCCCCTTCCCTCTCTGTCTCACTGACCCGGGTCCCCACCCTATCCCTAACCCCTCGCCCACGACACGCCGCACTGGAGCACGCGCAGAGCGCGCCCGACACCGCGATCCTCTCGGGATCGTGATCCCAAGTCGACCCCTCGCCCACGCTTATGTCCTATAAATACCTACGCATCTCCTCTTCTGAACCCCCCAAAAACCCTACCTCAACTCCCACCACAGCCCACGCCCTCCTCCTTTGGATCTCGCCGCAGCCGCCTCAGTTCATCGCCGCCTCCACCGCCGGTGAGAACAACACGACTCCCTCTTCCACCTATGAGCTTCCCCCGACGTTGCGCATCGTTTTGACATGGTTTCGGCCTCCTTCTCCCATCACATGATCGTCCCCGAGCTCGTTCGCCCCTCGCCGGAGTTGCAGCTCACCAGGGCGCTGTCTCCGTCATCCCGATCGTCTTCGCCGTCCCCGAGCTCCACCGAGGCCGCCCCCGACTTCCCCAAGCTCCGCCGCATCCTCCCGACGTCTTCGCCACCTTCGCCGACCGCCGGAGACCCCGCCCCGCTCGACACCGACCCCCGCCACCCACTGCCGCCGTCAACCACCGCCGCAGTAAGCCGCCACCACCCCTCCACCGTTCGATCTGCAATCTACGCCGTAGATTAGAAGTAGTGAAGGGTTAGGTTTTATTTAGATTAGATCGGTTTTAGGTGGTTTTATTTTGGTTTAGTTCGGTTTAGTGTAGACCGGCCCGACCGGTTTATTTATGTTAGCCCGTGGACGCAGTGGTCTATTCCACGCTTGAGTGATGTTTAGTTTTAGAACGCCCACTGTTTCGGCCCATTAGTGCGTTAGTTTTTGTTTAGTTTTATTTTAGTTTCTGTTTTTAAAACAGAATAGTTCCAGTTTTGTAAAATCTATATCTTTTAAGTTATTTAATATTTTTAGTTGATTCTTTTTTGCGCTAGTTTGCAAATTTCCTATAGTTGCTGTAGAAATTAGATTCGGCCATGTTTAGGTTTTTAAAAATTGTTTTATATTAGTTTTAGTCAGATTAGTTTTTCTGCTATAAATTGAGTTAGGATTATTTTATTTTAGTGATTCTTTTTGTCACTGCTTTGTTTTGACCTTTCCTAGCAGTAGGAATTTATTTGGGCATTTATAGTCTTTATTAAAAATAGTTTTATGTGAAAACAAGCTTTTCTAGTTTATTTAGCTTGTTGTTGTTTTCAGCTGTTCTAGTTATTTTTAAATTTTGTTTCTCCTATGTTATAATTTATTTTAGATCAGTTTCTGTAGTTACAGAGAGTGAACATTTATTTACAGCAAAATAAAAGGTTTTATTTTATTTTCTTATTAGTTTTGTTTTAGGTGTAACAGGAGTTCTATAATAGATATTGGTTTGATTCTTTTTGCACCTAGTTTGTATGCTGTTTTCCTTTATGTTAGTTAGTGAAACCATTGTTTTGGATCTGTAAAGAAAAGTGTTAGTAGGTCAAAACTATTTCTTTGTGGTTGCTTGATGTGATGGAAACCTTGATTTTGTTTTCCTCGAGTTTTCTTTGATTTTAGTTTGAGTGCTTGTGTGTTTTCCTTCAGTTTGCTGATATGTCATTAGTGAAATACTTATTTGTGCTATTGTTTGACTCGATAGAATATCCGGAGTGCGAAGCTTGCTATCTCGAGTCACTAGCGTTTGAAGACCGTCAGCCAGGCAAGTCATTTGATCATGTTTTACAATACCTATGATTTTGTTGCATTAGAATTGTTCCTCCCCACCATGCATGCAGTAGGAGAATTTTAAGTTATGTTCTTGAGTAGTATCATGAGGTAGGATGAACCCAATTCCCCTTGTTACCATTGCCCGGGACGATGTAGTTTATTTTGCTATGCTTGTAGACGGGGTTGGTTGAGTGATTCATAAGGGAGATGTGAGAGTCAAGATGATGACAACCCCATGACTTCAAGCTCAAGATGGACTTCAAATTCACTACTGGGTGGAGGACGGTTGACGGGCACCCTTGAGGAACCAGCGGATGGCCGGGATGCATGGAGAAGCGCCATGACATCTTGTGGAAAGCTTCACCCAGCCACGAAGAGACGGATGGATACCCCTTGACCGGAAGCTTACCTGTGCAGCCGCAAGCCATTATGGGCTCTGGCTGGGTTGACCTTAGGCGTGACTCTGGACGGACGGTGCCAGCAGATGTAGAAGAACGGTAGGACATGGATGGGTACCGGCAGTGCTCAGAGAAACTCTACGGAAGACCCTGTTTCGTTCATCTCGTCTTCAAACACCAGGCAGTGCGAGGACATAAAGGAGGGAACGATTCTTGCGGGTAAAGTGCACAAGACTCTGCAGAGTAACAACCAAATCGATTAGCCGTGACCCCGGTTACGGACAGATGAGCCTCTGGAAATTGGAGTATTTCGGAAATCTCAACACCGAACTTAATAAATTAATTGAGGGGTTATTTAATAATTAGGAATGAGACATTGGTTGGCGGAACCATCTCAATAACAACCAACATTTTGTAGTAATTGTAAGAAAGTCCTTTTGTCATAGGGAAAAATTGGCTTTTTCGCAAAAACATAAAACTTAGAGCCCCACAGCCAAATTGCATATAGTGTTAGCATTATTATTATTATTCTCTCTATGACTTGCCAGCATATTCAAAATGCTGACCTACACGGCTGCAACGTCTTATGTTGCAGAGGAGTTTTCCGACCAGGAGTGAGGCTACGATCCGCGCTTGGCGATTGCCCTATGGAGTCGGATGGACTCGCTATTCATCTACGCTTCCGCAACTTATTTAGTTTATTTCTCATGAGTTGGCCTTCGGCCGAATTTATTCTATTGTAATAAAGACTCGATATGAGAATCGTGTAATAAATTCAGATGTGATTGAACTTTGAATCTTTTCATCAATGTACTGTGTGTGCCAGCATGATCTTGGGATGGTACAGCTACACAGAGACTTGACCGATTTTGGGTCGGGTCGTTACAATTACACAGTTCATGGTGGTAATTGGCAAAGTAGCGGACTCACTACATCATTCTGAGCATTGACCACTACCCGAGGCAATACATACATCCTTTCTACAAATCCATCGTCAAATGAATCTGATTCCCTACTTTACATGATCAGTGAACATAAATGCATTCGACGCCAAGCACGGCGATTTTGCAGTTACAAGCACGCCTGGTGGTTTCCCTCCTCTTTGCCAAAAACGCAAATCTCCCTTGCTACTGTTGCATCACAAAAGCAGCGTGTTAGTCTCCATCAAATCAGAGTGTTGATATTTTGTAAATTCTACCCTTTGGTGCAATGCTTCGGGATGTAATTTATGCAATTCTAATCTTCTAAAATAAGAATAAAAATAAAGCTTTCTTGCAATAAGGTGATCTTGTACTCTCAAGAAACTGAACATAGTTGATGCTCGCCTGTCTTTTTTAAACTGAACATAAATTGCAGTTCGCGGGTGCAAAACAGTTGCGCCCAAAACAGCAGATGTAGAAATAATGCAACAAACAATATCCACTTTCAAAACTCTCCGATATCTAGTCAAGAACGGGGCCGTCTGTCAAACATCGTGAACTGAAACACAAGTATAACAAGTCGCAACTAAGCCACCACAAAAGTTAGTCGGGAAACACATTCAGAAGAAGAAAAACAATATATAAGCACTTAAAAAGCCGATTTATATTATTAGTGGTTCACACAATAAGGAACAACCAAGATTGAAAAAAAAAGATCCTCAAAAATTAAACAAATTGTGCAGTCAAAAAAATGAAAACAAGAGAATTAGCATCCTCTGGGATGAAGAGATTGTGCACTACATAAAATGGAAAACAAGAAAATTGCTATCAGAACAAATAATTTGTATAAAGGGACTCTTATTAGAATCACATGTGCATATCAAAGAATTCATTTTTCAAACTTTATGCACATCCGAAAGTTCATAATATTATAATTACTTTCCAGAACTAGGAGTACTGTATTTTTCTCTATATAAATGATGAACACAAACACAAACTGTAGATACAAATTAGCCAGTGTGGCCTGGCTGCAAATGCAAGATAGCAATATTCCATAGAGAAAGTTTCCATAATATGAAAAATCAATCTTCCGTAACTTTATTAGCTCCAGAATTGTACTGATATTTTGAGAAGCATCTAGAGGTTTCTATGGGAATAATCATTATAAGACACCAAGGAATGATTTTTTAGTTTTCAACAAAGTAAATAATGATGGTTAGCTCATACCCACATATTTCCATTCATTTCATCGTACCACAAACAACTG